GTTTTTTTTTTTAATATTTCAAATTAAGAAATTGAGTAATGTATAATACTTAAATTTGATAATTTACTTTGTACTCATTTAAAGTTGTTATAGTTTTGATACTACTAACTATTAATGTAGTATATAGAGCTGAGTGTAAAAGATAACTTTCAATAATTGTATTTTGTGCTTTAAGAAGGAAAAATTCATGTCAGACACTTGAACATGTAACCTTATAATTCTGTAAGTGCTGATTAAAAAACTTAAACTTGGTGAAAATTAATGTTACTCAAGTTTAACTGAATAATTAATAATAACTTGATATTATTCAGTAAATCATTCACCTTTAAAATTTTGACTGGTTAAACTTGTACTTCAGTATTTGTATAGGTCCATGATAGATTCCCATTCACTGTTTTGTGATTAGACCAGCACCATTACCATGTGTCTTGCTCATTATGTGGTGTTTAGAATCCCCAAAGGAGGAGTTATTTCAACATTACACAAGCTGACCCAGCTAATTATGAATTTGATATATTTAAAGTTTCAAAAGGCTTTAATAGTATTTCTCAAATCTGATTTCTGATAAGGTACTTTACCTTCTCTCTCATAAGAAGCTATTCTCATTCAGTGCTGCCTTCTATATTCAAAACTCTTTTTGCATGCCACAAGCCTTGAGCTCCCACATTCCCCATGATCAATGTGGTTCAACTGTGTCGTGCATGCAAATCTTCATGCAACAACCCTCTGTTAATAGGAACTCAACACACCCTCCTGATGCATGTGACTCCCTCTATTCGACTACCAAACTACCACTTCTCATTTGGCAGTGCTAGTGTCAAGACGTTTTTTGTTTATGCTCTCTTTTCGCATTTTTATTTTTTTGACATTTCATACAAAGTGGAGATATTTTTTTCCTACTCCACTTTAACAGTTTTAAGTGATAACTTACCTATCTTTATTGTTCTTCACATTTTTGTAGTTTTCACTGAAGCCTATGTTTCCACTTCAAAAATGTTATCATTTATTTCCAGTGCAATTACCCAGGTGGCAGTACTTGACTGAGGAATTTTCAGCTTTAATACAGTAGGAGATTGATCGTTATATGAGTTGACCTTCATTGGGCCTCAAATTTGGGGGCCCATACATTTATAATATGATCCGCTGACTTTAGACAGTTAAGCTGTTATACTGTTATAGGTTTTTGGATAAGTTTGTTATTAATATTATTATATGGAGTTCTTTGGTGTCAATAATAAATGCTTTGGTTAGATTTGTATCTACTTCTTTTAAGGTTAGAGTTTTTTAATTAACATTTAGTGATATCCTTTGTCCTACCATGTTAGATTAGGCTTAATGTGTATTTGTTGTTTTAGGCTTACCTGTCATTCATTTTACTGGTAAATTGTACATTATGTTAAATGTATTGTTTCTTCAACAAATACTATCTACTAAATTCTTACTGTCAATATACACTTACTTAAATTTTAAATTTAAGGAATTTTTAATTTTTGTGATTAATTACATTTTATACTTCTTACAATGAATTTCAGTTGTGAGGACTCCTGGGTCCACCAAACCTTCTCTCATTATTGCTTGACTTCCTCCTCAAACTTCCGTACTTGTTTGGGACAACATCTATTTTGACAATTTTGCTCCACCTGATTATGACTTGGCCTTCCTCAGGCCTCTACTGCGAAGTATGTTAGGCCTACCTCAGCCCTTTTTATACACGTTTTTCTCCCCTCCTTTTCCAGACGTTTTGGTTCATACTGCGCATTTTTGTCTCTCTTTTTAGAGATGATACTAGCACGCCTCGCCCTCCTCTAGCTTTGGCTGATTTTGTCTTAGCTTACCATCAGCTAGATTGTTTTTTGTTTTCATGCTTCTCTGCACTTTGAATCTCTGTTGCCACTATGAGGGGGCAGAATCTGTTAATTCTATCCCTTTCTCCCTAGACAAGTTTTCCAGCCATCATCTTCCACTGTCGCCTCTCCTACTGGTATTAACCATCATACACCTCCTTTCCAAGGCATTCCACCTATTTCTTAGGGATTTTCTTGAGATACCTTCCTCCTTCTTAACTCCAAGTTAGGGTGATTGCCATTTTCAGCTCTTTCCTTACACATATGGCTTTTTTGATTTTTAGGATCTTTTGGGGTGGGACACTGGTCCATTTTTTGAGGGGTGTTACTCATGTGACTTTAGCATCACATGGGGTATCTGTTTTGCTACATTCAATTTTTTCTTTTTTGGTTTGCTTGTTTGTCTCTTTAGCCATTGCATTATTTATTTATGTTCTATGTCCAACACTTTCCCGTCATTTACCTGTCCTACATCTAAGAGTTCCTCCATTAGTTGTGTATTTTCAATGCAGATTGGAGTTCTGTGATTGATCTGTCTTGCCTCAATCACTTCTTGGTTCTTTCACTTTTTTTACTATGTTGCCTTTTGTCATACTGGTGGACCATTTCTCCAGGACTGAGGATGCCCATGGTTGACATTTTGTTATTTTATGCTCATGCTCCTATTTTTCATCCCTCGTGGCACTGTCTTAGGTTTGCTCAACATGGGGTTGGGTACCAGTCTAGTGCCTTGCCCATTGAGCTTCTTTTGGATCTGTATGTCTTTGTCTCCAGTTCCTCATCCACTTGCTTTGGCTGTCGATGCATTCAGACAGAATTAGGACCTGTTTATACTTTTATTTCTCATGCCATTCATCATCTTCCCTCGATTTTTTCGTTCATTCTTGCCACTCTGTGTTAGATCTTTCTGATTGCTCCTTCCTGGTCAACACAGATCTGTTTTTTTTTGCTGCTTCAGCTCGATTTGTTTTTTTTGTTCTGGATACATTTTTTCCAACCATCCACTTTAGTGGCTCGTGTGGCATGTTCTTCCATTTTTTTTTTTTGCTTCTATCTCTCACCTTTATTCCCGACTGGATCTTGATGGCCTTCTATGTTGTGTACATGCTCTGAGGTGCTTCATTGCCCTCATGGCTTCTTTATATTGGTTCCCTTTCCTGCTGTTTCATTCCCTGGCACCACCACTCGGTTTGAGATTTTTTCCTTCCTCTCTTACCCTTTCGATTCAGTTGGATTTTACTTCCTTGTCTCCTGTTTCCCATAATCAATTCCTGGTGTCTTCACTCCAATCAGGTACCTTTTCTTTTACCTACATCTCACCCCCATCATATGTTGGAGGTACTTCTTTTGTTGAGCACTGGGACTATACCTTATATGTTTATCTCTCATTATCTTCTTCTTTGGGTAGCTGTTTCTTCCTCGTCAGGTACTGTCTTCCACCTGTCACCATCCTTCTCTTTTCTGTTAGACTGTGACTGTATAAGTTACTGTTTTGTATATATACATCTTATTTTTCAAGTGAGTGACACCTTTCTTTATGACAAGTAGTGCTTGTCCAGGTATACTGAAAATAGACAAATCCATACTGTAAGGCCAGGATGACTTAATTATAATTTCCATGGCCACTAAATGCACACTGTTGCTACATTCATATGCCCATTCTGAACCATACTAACCCATGGACTTCATTCCCTAAATTTAATAAATCAGGAGGGATCAGCTTTTCAAAATAGGGTTTTTTGGGGTTTCCAGTTTGACGTTCCTCTAAACTCTCCACCACATTTTCTCTCCTCTTTTTTCTTCTGGTGGAATACAGGAGTGCTGACTACTTTCCAGTTCCAAGCCATTGGAGTGGTGGACCATGGAGGCATTCTCCTGAATGTGATAGTGATATACGATGCAAACTATAATGAATCCGTGCGGTTGAGTTTTGGATTCAGAACTGGACCAACCAACATAAGTCGTCACACATGTATTACAGTTGTCTCTGTTCCATCACTCAGTTGGACTTATGTTCACTGCTACTGTGTTTGTGAGTCTCGTTGGATGAGCATGCAGGTTACTACAGTTCTTTCTTTTGCGCTATCCCTTGAAGATTTTCATATACCGAGGATGTTACTGCACTGGAGATGGTTTCTGTCTGATTGATATTGAGTGGGATATTTTACATTACAGAGACATCTTTATTATTCAGATCTTCTGAATGTCAGATTCCTGAATCAGTCAAACATTTCATTTCTTTGCCATCATGTGTTCTGTTCACAGATTGGTGGGTATAATTCCCTCCAGTTTGCTGAACTTGAGGTGAAGATTGTACAATCCTCTTTCTTACCCCCACCAGATGACAGGGTTTTGGATTGTAGTTAACATGACAATGGTATGATCCACTTTCCTACCTTCACATGGATGTTGGTTACGGGTGGCTGGGTTTTGAATGCAGTTGACTTGCTGTGTATGGTCCATCGCACACTAGCCACTCTACACCTTGGGGCACATCCTTTTCACTCTCATCCACATTACTGTCATTTATGGGATTGAGATTCAGATATTGGGTGGTTGGTATCCCTTATCCAACCATTGTTCTCTCCCTTTTGGATGTGCTCCTCCCTTTTTCCACCTATATCTGCATCACCTCTTTCCACACTGGGCATAGAGTACAGAAGTCTCTTATGTATGATCCTCTTTTAAGGTGTTTTATGGATGCTTTTGAAAGATGGATTTTTTTTCCCTCTCATTGGTCCCTCTTCCTATTCAATGTGGGATTCTAACTATTTAATTGAGAAGAAGTTGTCAGAAGTTATAATTTTCCTATAATGAAAATGTATTTCTGATAGGTATTTACCTCCTCTCCACGGAAAACTGGCGCTTCCTTTTTCTGCCAAAACTTAAAATGATAGTTTGGTAGAATCGAATAGAGGGAGTCACATGTGTCAGGAGGGTGTGTCACGCTCCTATTGGTGGAGGGTTGTTGCATGATAATTTGCATGCAAGATGCAATTTAACCATGGTGATCTTAAGTAAGTGGGAGTGCAAGGCTTGTGGCATGCAAAAATAATTTTGCCTATAGAGGCAGCACTGAATGAGAATACC